TTGGACCCTGGGGACTTAGGTGAGAAGCGTCTGAATGTATGATGTCACCTCGCCATGAGGCATGGGCTATGCAAAGATGAGGGTGGGATCAAGTCTTTTCTTCAGCAGTGCTGGGATCTAAGCCCTAGCGTGACTCTGAGGATGGATTCATGCTCTGCACACAGCTGCCACTCCTCGGAGCTCGGGAGCTGTCTCTGATTTACAGCCAAGGCCAGTGTGTGGGCCCCACCTCTCTGCTCCCCACAGGGTAGATCTTCTCCCACTGCTCTGCCTTGTCCCAAGCCTCCGGAGGGCTGCTGAGGAGTGCTCAGAGGGTCTGGCGCCCCCGTCCCACCTCCCCATGGCATACTGCCTTCTCGCACACTCAGTGCTCTGTGCAGCTGTGGCTGGGGCCCCTGTCCCCACACTAGGCCCCATGCACTGTCCATGGTTCCTTAAGGTTGGGGCCGCACTCTTCCCATCCCTCCTCCAGCTGGCTCCTCTCCTGCTGCCACAGCCTGTATGAAAGGAGTGGGGCCTCTTCTCCCCTAGAACGACCTCATTAGTTTTTGGAAATCTATCCATTTGAGTTTCTTTGTATCATCAGCAATCCAAGGGATTTCTAAAAGCTAGGACTGGTAGCTCACCTGGCCTGTCCATGCTGCTCAGGTGGGACTGGGGTGGTCTCCCGACATTCTGCACTTGAGTCCACCTGCTGACCTCCTGCTGCTCCCAGTACCCACCCTGAGGAGCCCTCACGGGCCCACTCGCCATCTGGTTCACAGGCCTCCCTTATTTGGAGACTTCCTCACAGAGCCGCTCTATCCTTGACTGTGTGTGCACGTCTTCCCCCTGGGGAGTACTTGTGAGGTCCCAGCACAGGACTAGGGTTTCCCTGTCTCACCCGGCACATAGCACACAGCCTGTAGAACATGAGAATGCTCGTGCCGAGACAATGTCTCCAAAATAGATCAGTTAATTCACAGCATTTCCGAGTGATGAATTTGGGTTTTAAACTTCCCAACAGCATACTGTAAATTGAGAAGGACTGTGTTCTCCGTAGGGATGACCAGGATGCGCAGCCAGTGCTGCTGAGGTTAGTACAAGCCGCAGCTGTCCCAGCCCCGACAACACAGGGTGCGTGAGGGCAGCAGTGCCCTCTGACCCCCTCGGGCTTCGGTTAGGATGTAATTCGTATTAAAGCCTCGGAAGGTAATAACTTCACAATGTTTCTCGGACCCTATGCTAGAGCTAGATTTTTGAAGATACATAGAAAAAGATTATTTATAAAATAATTCACTGGAAATTGGTTGCACCTTGAAAGATCATGGGTGTATAAAGCTTAAATTTCCAACATAGACTTTCATCACTCGAGGGGCCGGAGGTGAGAAAACCCTGCTCCCAGCCCTGCCTGGCTGTACTTCTGTAGCAAAGAAGTCTGCTGGGCAGCGTTGGTAACGTCCGGTCATGGACTTCTGCTCTGTCCAGTCTTTGTTCATCAGAGAGATGACACTGGACAGAGAAAATAACAAGTTCTAGGTTTTCATGCATTTTTTAACACTGAGAAGCATCCGTCTCAACACAGAAGAAAAAGCCTAAGCCAGAAGCGCCACCACGTGCTCATTCGCTCTCCTTCTCCGTGTGCTCATCTTCTGAATGACCCTTGTGACGTAGCGCTAAAACGGCCACGTGGCAGGATGATTGCAGAGTCCATGACTACACGGGGACATCTGTGAGGGAAAGTGCCCAGACAAACTCTGGTGGATGGTACTCCTGCCGGATGTTGAAGGACTACGGAAGCCAACCCTGGCCGTGTCGATGGATGGCATGCGCGGTGAGACCAGCGCCAGCCCCGGTCCCGTCTCTACGGACACGGAGTGCAGGCAGGGACGGACGCCCCCTCTCCCTGTGCCTCCAGTGGCCCCAGGGTGGAGTCAGAGGCAGCGGCCCCACCTTTCAGACACAGGCTCTCGAAGGAATCGGGGTCCATGAAAGACACCAGTCCCACTTTCTTCTGGAACGGAAAGGCCACCTTGAGAGCAATCCAGGATGGACGTCAGTGGCAGAACTGTGGCGCACAGGAGCCAGGGCTGCAAAGACACGGCAGCACATCCTACTGGCTGGCGTGAGGAAGCTACACAGTCACGCACCCCAGCACCACCACAGGCCTCACCGGACCCATGGAGGCTGGTCCGGCAGAGTCATTCACCACTCGGGAGGTCATGCCCTGGGACCAACCCAAGAGCCCCCAGGAGCTGTCCCATGGTGTGGCCACCGTCCCTCCCAGCACTCCCGGCCCTGGAGTCCCCGGGGTCCCCCTTCACGAGGCCCCACCATCGGCTGCCGCTGATTCTGACCCTGACGCCGTGCTGTCGGCTTCCTCGGAGTAGGGCACAGACAGCACGGCGATATGGCGGAGAACCTGGGTGCCTTCCCTGCGCCCTCCGCGTCCAGGGCGCAGACTCTATCTAAACTTGACTCCCCTGTTTTAGTGCGAGGCTAAGTGCATGATGACCACGCTGAAGGGGAAACACGTGCCGGCTTCAGAATGAAGGCTGGGGCTCCCCACACCAGCGGGGACAGCTGAGGAGGCTTCACGAGCGCCCTGTGGGACGGAGGCGAGCTGCGGCCCTGGAGCCTGCCACCTCCCTTCAGTTTGTGCAGCACACGGAGAAGACCCCAGACTTAGGCTAGGGGAACGTGGTGAGCCACTCCACTGAGAAACTTCAGCTGGTTCCTTCACTCAGGCATCTTCTGGGTCTTCCGAGTCTGCAGAACTTTTAACGACTCTCTTGCCCTTCCCCCCTCCACAACCATCGCTGGGTCCAACACGCAGGGTCACGAGGCAACGTCTCCCTTACAGACGCCCAAAAATCCACAGCCAAAGCCAAGGCTGAGCACAAAGCTTTGTGTGATAAGGACACAGCAGACAAAGGAGGCAGATGACACGATGCTGTTAGGCTTGCGTGAGCTTCAGTCACCCGTCTTCAGGACTGCGGGAGGCACTGGCGTTCTGGTGTGCTGGGCAGTAGGCACAGCCGTGGGACTGGGGCTATGGGGCCATGCGGTGCCGGAGCGCGGACAGAGCCCATGTCGTCAAGCACAGCCGTGTCTTCGGTCCTGCTCAGGAGACGGGGACACCAGCAAGAACCAGCAGCTGGATTCCAGACTCCCGACCTACTTTCCCTGCGTTTCTGAAGACCGTTCGTGACGAGAAGTAACGTCCACCATGAAGTGAGGCCTTCCCCGACAGCTGGACGTGCACTGTGTCCCTGCAGCCACACCGTGGCCATCGGCCGTGCGCGCACCTTCACAGCCAGTGCCCCGGGCCGGAGAGACTGAGCATCTGCCCCAAGACCACACAGCACCGAGGGGACGGGCTCTGAACCCGCTCCGGAGCATCCGGCATCGCGCCCACCACGTCTGCCCACTGCCAGCTCCCCCAGCAGAGTCCGTGCCAACCCCATCTCCTGCCCCGCGGGGCCTGCCGAGCGTTTGGCTCATAGGAAGGGCTCGGTCAGAATCAGCGAATGAGTAAAACATCTTCTCGCCGAGAAACTAATGTGAAGCGGACCCAGCTCCACCCCGGCAGGGTCCGCACTGAGAAGCCGGCCAAGGGTGCAGGCCAGAGCAGGCTTGGGCCGAGCACAGCATGTGGTGTGTGCCCTCCCGGCGCGCCGGGACTCCCTCCCGCCAGGCTGTCCTGTGAGGCCGGAAGGAAGAGCTGTGCCGTCAGGTGGACGCCGCGAGCCAGGCAGACACATTCCATGACCCAGGGTGGACACGTGCTTGTGGGGAGCTCCCCGCCCCCGCTAACCTCACCACCCCTCCCGCGCAGGGTCATGGCACCCGGGAACACGCCTGGCTCTGTACCTCCTCAGAGGCCAGGCCCGGGTGAAAGCCACTCTGAGACCCCCCAGCGGCGAGCCCTCCGGAGGAGCGTGCAGGGCGCGACCAGACCCTAGCCCAGAGCAGGCTTCAAGGATCTCAGCGGCTCCTCGACAGGAAAATATAAAAGGGACCCGCGTTGCTTCCCCCACATCTCCCGGAGCCACGGCCGTCCTCCGACGAAGCCCCAGCAGGGCTCCAGGGAAGAGGAGCTCCATCAGCCGTGCCTCCGTTGGGGAGAGGAACCTACGGCCAATCCAGGGGACACGACCAAGAAAGACGCGTGTCCCCTGGGGCCAAGTAGCTGACACACCCACGGTCACCCTGGACTTCAACGCTGCGTCCAAACACCGTTCTTGGGATGCTGAGGGCCCCGGCTGTGACGGTCACTAGGCCTGCTCCTTCCAAGGCAGCCGAAACCTGGCAACTCCCGTTTAACAAGCAGCCGTTCTCTTCCATCTCAGAGGCTAACGGAGATTTGCAGTTGTTTCTCTACAACGTTCTTTTAAACAATCAGCGATGGCTGGACGGCCCTGCCGGCGCTGGTGTAAATGACCTCCTCCCCAGACACTGTGCGTGTGGGAAGCCTGTGTGGGCAGGTGCACCCGGCAGACAGGCTTCCCGAGAGGCGAGACTAGCAGCAGGACCCCAGCACGTCCCAGCCCACTGGGACGGCCAGCCACCCTGTGTCCACCGAATTCCAGCCAAATTCGGGGTCCCCTCGTGCTCCTTCCCAGCTGTGTGCCCACTGCTGTCCTGGGTCCCGGGGGTGAGGGTGGGCCCTTCCACACCCTCTCTGCTGCCTCCAGGTATCACGTCTGTGTTTGATGGTGGGCTTTCTAGGGCTCCCGCCCCAGGGAAGATGCCCCAAAGACCCTCGCCCCTAAGCAACCCAGACCACTGAGTGACTCAGTGTGGACGGTGGATGGGCCACCACTGCTGGACTCGTGAGCACGCGTGTGCGACTGTAAAAAGGTCCAGGGCCATTCTCTGCGTGTGCCCCGACCCACACAGCACAGGAGAGAAACCAGTGAATGCCCAGGACTTGAGGTTGGGCCTGGTGTGCACATAGAGAAAACAGCCCGTGGCAGGTAGGAGACATGCCCGGCCACAGGGCGAGTGATGGCGGTCACCTGAGCTGCTGGTCTGTCCGGCCTGGTCTTGGGATGAGCATTCGGAGCCGCGGCCTGCGACAGGGCCTCTAGGTATGGCAAGTAACGCTGGACAGCCCTGGCCAGGGCACCGGCCTCCCGCAGACTGGGCCTCCACTCCTTCTCTGCGCTCCGCTCCAAGCTCCTGAAAAGCCAAGAGAACCGTGAGCCAGTCACACGTTTGTCCCCGTGGCTTAGCCGTCCAGGCATCTGCTTCACGCGAGACGAACGCACACGGGACAGCCTCAGTGCCAAGCGAGGACACGGGCCTCGTGGCCAGATGGTGAGGTCCGGCCCCCAGCACGCGTCAGCCACGGGCTTGAGTCTCACATGCGCCCCTGGAGCCTGGGGCTCTGATGCACCCTGGAGCCGAGGTGGGGACTTGACGAGTGACCCCGGAGAGGGTCAGGCTTGGAGTGTGCTCCCAGCCTGGCCGCTCTGAGCTCCGGGGATGGGAGACCAGCTACAGGTGGGCTTCCTGCAAGTCCGCCAGCATCTGAGAAGCAGAAAGCGACCTATGCAGCGGCCCGGGGGCCGGGGGGTCTACCCAGAAGGGGGTCTGAGGTCTAGGGAAGCGGACTGGCTGGGGCAGGGGTCGGGGGACAGCAGAGAAGACAAAAGCGAAACAAAGAGCTGAGAGCAGGTATGGGGTCTGAGCGAGGGCAGGCCCGGCCTGAGCTGGGGCGCAGATGGAGGCTGCAGAACTGAGCCGGGCAGGGGGGCATCTCCTGGTCATGGAGGCCCAATGCCCAGGAGGTGGAAGAAAACCAGGCCCTCCCGCGTCCCGCCACCTCCCAAAACCTCCAGACACCGCACACGCACAGCTGCCCAGAGGCGGCACAGCAAGGAAGCAGGAAAACTCCCGCGCGTGGTTTACAGTGACCCTGAGACGCCACTCCCGACCCCCACGGCTTGTGAATGTGCTGGGTTCCTGGGCATGGGGGCCACGGCGGGGCAGGAGGTCCACAGTCAGCCAAACCGACAGCAGGGAGATGACCCCGTGTCCCCCCGGGGCCCAGCGTGATCACAGATCCTTAAAAGAGGACGAGGAGGTGGAAGTTGGTGTCAGAGCGACGTCGCGTAGGAAGACTCCAGCCCCGAGGGAGGCCGGGCCACCAGCTGGAGAACGCACTAGGGGGACACACACCCAGCCAGGCCCGTGAGAAGGGCCCCGCCGCGCCCGGGCTTCAGCTCACTGGGGCCGCGGCAGAGCGTCTGACCCACAGGGCCGCAGACGCGGCGGAGTCTGTGCTGGGTCACAGCGGGAGACAAAGGCGCGGCTAGATGTTTCCGGTTGTGGAACTGTCGCCACCAAAAAGCCACGTGTGCGCACAGGCCGTGCTGGGCAGACGGGCCGGAGGCTGGAGGACACACGGGATGCCTGCTGTTTGTTTTTCAAACGGTGGCCAGATGGACGTGGCTCTGAAGCCACATGTTTGGCCCTAACGAGGGGCACAGATGGGGCAGCTGGTGGCCTGCCACCTGCAGACGGGCAGGGCCACGGTCCGAACAGGTGCCAGGACACGGACATGGGAACTCACACTGTCCCTCAGCGGCCTCCTGTCTGGATCGGCTCCCCTCCCCCCGTTGCCCTGACTGTGAAGAGCTGACCTCTGGGGCCACCCCTCTCTCAGCCCAGACGCAGTGACCAGAGAACCCCATCCACGGACACCTCTGCTGTGTGCATGTCACCTGTCCCCAAGGGCCAAGATGCATCCTAAATGGAGCAAGAAACCACACAGCTAGATGCTATGTGCAGAGAGCCTCTGTCACACACTCTGACCTCGGGTCCCCGAGAAGGGCAGCCTGACAGCAAATTCCTGGTCCTGACACCCATGCACCCAGGTCCTGCACCCAGCTGCAGGGCTGGCAGCTCCCCAGACCGTCTCCTCCCAAGTTCTTCTCCCGTCTCCTTTCTCTCCTTCGCTGTGCTGCCCACGGCTGGCCCTGCTGTGCCCAACGATCAGCCATCTCGGCGGGTGACGCCGCTCTGGCCGTAGACCACAGGCTTCGCCGCTGTCCCATCTTTTCTCTCTTCCTTAGCCACACGTCCATGCATTCCCTCAGGCTGACGCAGAAACGCGCCCCCATCCATCCACGCCTCCCCCTGCATCAGGGCTCGTCTGCGGTACGTGCAGTCAGGCCTGAGCAGCTGGGGTGGCAAGAGCCCGAGCCTCTGGCTCTCGCCACTGCTGGTCGGAACCACGGGGGCCTCTGGGAAAGGACCCCAGGTCCCATCACTCCCAGGTAACAGCTCCAGTCACGTCCCACTTCCCGATCGTTCGGTCACCTCGTGCTCAGGGACGCTTCCCCAGCATCCGGCCGGAGGTAGGCTCTCGTCACCGCTCACCAGAGCGCCCCAGATCACGGGCCCTACAGCGCTCGCTCCTACCGGAAACTGCCTCCTTGACCACGCGCTTCTGTTGCTGGCTCTCCTCTTGCTGGCATGTAAGCTGCCCGAAGGAAGGGCTCACGCTCCTCTCCGTTCCTCTTCCCTGCGCCAACCCCAGGACTCCCAGCCGCCGCTGAAGGCAGACGTGTGGGCTGAGTGAACTCGCCCACATACCCAGGACATCCCAAGTTAATGCAGTTCCTAAGTGTCACTTCACAGGTTAATGATGTGAAACGCTAACGTATGGGGCTGTTACCCGTGAAAGTGAGTTCAGGGTCCGAAACTGATCATTGTGGTGTGGTGGGGTGATCAAATTATGGCCTAATTTGAAAGAAAAATGTCTTATTTCCCTTTATTTTTTTTTTAAGGAAAATGAGTTTTTAAGTTACATAAAACATGATTCTCCCCATCTCTGTTTGGCCTCTTCGATGGCCACAAACACTGCTTGTGCAGAGAGAACGGGACATGTTTCCTACAGCAACTCTGTCTCACCTCAGACGGTGCTCTCCGTAGTGGGCGTTGATCACTGTGGCGGCTGATCTCTGAATAATAACTGATTGTAAGCGATTATAGCTCTGACATTTACATAGCAATATATCTAAGTGGGTTTTCCGCATACTAAATGCATTTGACCTTCATGTAAGTAAATACTCAGTTTCAAAATTTGTATTTTTTTAATTATCCGCCAGAAGTGCCCTTGACGTTGAACAAAAATACCCCAGCCTGTTAGAAACACGGCACGGCTCACCCGATGTCAGAACGCGGTCTAGAAAAGCGGTGCACACGGGGGTCATGGACGCATCTGCTGTTTTCATCTCTTCCCATCGTTTCTGACCTGACCTTTGCATTTGGAGGGACTTTGTTTTTAAGCAATCATTCGATTTTCACTTTTACTTACAAGTATACCAACTGTGGTAAAGTCTCATGAGAATTCTAGGAGTAAGGTGTTTTGATGTGCTGACAGGAGGGCCCTCAGTTCCCCAAGCACAGCGGGAGGCCTTAGAAAAACCATACATGCAGGAAAAGTGGGGACGTGGTTTCCCCACTCACAGTCCCATGTGTGTGTCTACATAAGTGTCTACTTGTCTGTGTGTATGCGTGTCCATACGTGTATGTGTGTTTCTGGGTATGTCTGTGTGTGTGTCTGCATTTGTGTTTGGTCTGTGTCCATGTTCTTGTCCTCTGAGTTAGGTTGTGTTACTGCAAATAAAATGCCCGATTTGCTAATAACCATTTCCACTTTTAGGGACCAGGAAACAGTACGTTCAGTTCTTCCTACAAGCACGATAGTTTGTGACTTACACGGGGTTCTCTAGCGTGGTTCTGACCCCTTCAGGACATTCCTGAGGGTTAGGTGGGTCTGTAACTCATCACAGATTTCCCACTTACAGTAATGGGACCAGGATCCCGACTAACTTCCGCACGTTGGAAGTCTGGTTTTCAAGAACGGATTGCTACTGTTAGGTGTGGTGTTTGTACATATTTCATAAAAGCTGGGACTTACAGAAAATCTTCTTCTTGTGTTTATTCATCTCATGGATAAAGCTGCCTGGTTTTTCAGGCTATACCGAATCGGACCTCACACGTGGGCCAATGACAAGGGATTCACGGTTCCTTAATCTCAAACCATGGCTAGAGTTTCCCGGACCATCACTGAACGGATGAAATCCCATGCTGTGTGGGGTCAGGGTGTATCTTAACTGAGGTCGGTTTATGACTCTGGTAGTCTGTCTTTTCTCAGGACTAATTGCTAAGCTCATAAAAGTGCCTCTAAACCATCGTTCCTTTCCCGGCGGGTGTATGACGGGTCTGTTTGCGACGCTGTAAGGTGTTGGAGGGACTGGCACGGCTCTCACTTCACTGGGCGGTCCTGGACCAGTTAACTTGCAAATGGGCTTTCACCTGTCGTTCTGCTTGAAGTAGGTCAAAACCTGGTAAGTACGTATTTTCCACCTCAAAAACACTAAAACTGTTTTACGTGTCGGACTTCACTGCTCCCTTTTCCAGTCGCGTGACTGATTTTCTGGCTCCAGACAACATGAGAGGCCCCAGTTTGCTAAAGAAAACAACCCCGACTAGGAAGACCAGCTTTACAGAGCACACAGTGAACCGGGTCTCACTCCTCTCCCAGGAACGGGAACCGCCCTGGACAACAGTTGACTCTCCACATACACCCTTCAAAGACACCTGATGCGATGCTCCCGGGCACAGTCCCCTGAGAACTGGCGGGAATCCCGGACGCACTGCTGGCCTCCTGCTCTCAGAGCATCGGCAAACGGCAGACTTCGGCTCTCAGGGACCCCTCCCGCTTCCCTCTGTTCCTCACATTTGGGATCTGTGATCAGTGCGGGGCCACCCTGCTGCTTTCACACACGGTGCTCACTCTGGTCAGGAGCAGAGTGGGGCCAGGCATCCCGCACAATCCTAACTTCATCCAGGCCGGTTAATTTCTGTACAGGTCAGCTGTCCTGCGTGAAGCACGCCAAGTGTATCTCCAGCCAGGTGTGGGTCCGCACGAGTCCATCAAGAACAGAATGCTCTAGAGACCAGTATGCGGAATGCATTCCCTGTGGACTGACGGAGCAGAGGAAGGGTTCTCGGCTGGCGTGGCTGCTCACGTAATAATTCAAAGCAACAGCAGGTCATTCATTCTGTCCTTCCTTCACTGACTCCACAATGTCAACCTCGTGAAAGGCACGTGTTAGGTGCTGGCATTCTCCGGGCCAGAAGCAGCACCTGGACCAGCGCCGGGG